CATGGCGTACACGCCGTCCAACCTCGGCAGGACTCGGGACGCCAAGACCTTCAAGCGGAGCTACCCCCATGCCAAGCCGCCCTACTCCTACATCTCCCTCATCACCATGGCTATCCAGCAGGCGCCCAGCAAGATGCTGACGCTGAGCGAGATCTACCAGTGGATCATGGACCTCTTCCCCTACTACCGGCAGAACCAGCAGCGCTGGCAGAACAGCATCCGCCACTCGCTCTCCTTCAACGACTGCTTCGTCAAGGTAGCCCGCTCGCCCGACAAGCCCGGCAAGGGCTCCTACTGGACCCTGCACCCCGACTCCGGCAACATGTTTGAAAACGGCTGCTACCTCCGCCGGCAAAAGCGGGTCAAGTGCGAGAAGCCGGCGAACAGCAAAGCCCCTCAGGAGGGCAGGAAAGATCAGGCCGGAGCCTCCAGTTCCAGCTCTAATTCCCCCCTGCACAGAGGCCACAATAAACCGGCGCAGCTGGACCCCGCGACCTCCCTCTCCAGCTCCAACCCGTCCACCAGCCCACAGTCTATGGACCACAGCGGATCGAGCACGGAGCTAAAGACCTCGGCCTCGGCCGCCTCCTCCACCATCAGCTCCGTCCCCGCCTTAGCCTCCGTCCCGCACCCCCCTCACTCCTTAGCCCACGAACCCCAGCTCCACCTCAAAGGGGATCCCCACTACTCCTTCAACCACCCCTTTTCCATCAACAACCTCATGTCCTCCTCGGAACAGCAGCACAAGCTGGACTTCAAAGCCTACGAGCAGGCGCTGCAATATTCCTCCTACGGGGCGAGCCTTCCCGGCGGGCTGCCCCTGGGCAGCGCCTCCATGGCGGGCCGGAGCAGCATCGAGCCCTCGGCCCTGGAGCCCTCCTACTACCAAGGTGTGTATTCCAGACCCGTGCTAAACACCTCGTAGCTCTCCGGCCCGCACGCCCGGGGGCGAGCCCCTCTCCTCTTCCCCTCTCCTCCTCGGCCTCTCTCCTGCTCCCCTCACCCTTTCCCCCTATCTGCGACAAACCGATGTGTTTCCGCACGCTGCGTGCCCAAGACTGTTACTTTATAATTGTCTCGCAACGCGTTGTGTATTGTTATTATCCAACACGACCTCCTGCAAAGCTGACCGCGTCCCTATTGTACATACCCCCTCGCTCCCTCCCCCGTCCCTCCTCCCCGGAGAACCCTATAGCCTTTGCAGGATGTTATTAAAAAGAAGAAAAAATTGTTAAGCTTGTAAACTACTTGTTTGTGCTTTCCACCTCGCCCCAGCCCCCCTCTCCCTTTCTGTGCTCTGTAATCTCATGTAAGTTTACAGGTATGTGGCAATACTTTAACAATACGGAGATGAAGAAGTGAGTAGACGTTTAAGGCTTTTTTTAATTAAAAAGGCTTTGGAAGGACAATACTGCTGTGAAGTAGCAAAACACTAAGAGAATCTCTAAGCAACAAGAGGACTATTTACTTTCTAGGATCATCCTTTTGATACTTGCAAAATAAACCTTCGGCTAGTACAAACCGCATACACCCAGATGCTGCGGGCCGGATCCTGCACTCCCAAGGGGACCAACCGGAGCTTTGGAGTGCAGGATGCGACCCTTATTTTTTCCAAGTGTTACCTGTCTTGGGATGTAATATAAAGTTACAAGAGGTCACAGCCAGTTGGGTATTTTTTTCCTTCCCATCTGTTACTGAAGATTCTCATTCATCAGGAACTCTCTTCAACATGTGGATGACATGCTTATTTAATTTCAGTGTCTTTTCATTATATACCAGCTAGAAATACATACATATATATATATATATACACACACACACATACACACACACGAATATATATATATATATATGTAAAACGAGGTTCTTTTCCTCTTCCTCCAGGAAACATTGACTATTAAACCAACTTAAGGAAAAGAGGCGAGCTCTTTCACTTTCTCCTTTTCCAACTTGATAAATTCCACACCCAAAATTTGTTGTGGCCGTTTACTTATCGCCATTGTTAGCTTGTTTCATCCAGTGTTAATGCACTTTCCACAGTTTTACACGGTGTTAGCATAGCCAGACGGGTTTTATTATTATTCCTGTTCGCTGTCTCAATGTTCTTAATTTATTGCATGGTTTATATTTTTCTTTCTTTACAGCTGGAAATTGCTTTAAATGACAGTAAAAAGAATTACACGTGAATTTAAGAAATTTTGTTAATTTTATAAATGTGATTGTAATTGAAAAAATATTTTGATTTAAAACGATAACTGAGAATTTAAGGCGTGAAGTATGTTTCTGATCATTTGCAGTTAAGGAATTTAAATAAATCAAATGTTAACAATGAACAATTTCTGCTGTTTTCTTTCAAAAGAAATGTTTGTGCGGTGGAAGGAAAAAGCTGGCATGGGTAGTAGATCAAACGTAGCACCAAAAGGTGGATGTCAGGAGGAATAATTTCCACGGCAAAGCTTGCGCGGAGGGCCCGGGCGACTTTGCTGCGGGCAGGCAGGGGACGCGCCCACCTGCGGCAGCGCTGCGCGCTGTGCGCGGGGCGCAGAGCTTGCAGCGGCATGTGAGGACGTTTTCCTGCTGTTTACGGGATGTGTATATGCTCTAACAGCGGCGGCGGGCGTGGGGTTGTTTTTTTTATTCGCCCTGCAAGGGGAAAAAAAAAAAAAGCCCCCCA